ATTAAAAAAACGCAAATAATTGATATTTTTTTTTTTTTTTTTTTTTTTTTTTTCCTTCTTTTTCTTCTTCTTCTCCCCTCCACGGCAGGTGTTCAGGAGCGCTCCAGAAAACAGATCAGAGATATGGCGCTCAGAGGATGTTGGACTTGTGTCTCTCCTGTCCGCTCGCTCCGTGCGTCTGTGCGCGCTCCCACTGGCAGAGGGCGTCGATGTGGAGAGGAGAGGAGAGGAGAGGAGAGGAGAGGAGAGCAGAGGAGAGCAGAGGAGAGGAGAGGAGAGATTTGGGGCTTATTTTTGTTTTATCAAGGTTTGCTTTTCAGATTTTTGAAAAAAGAACAACATACTAAAATCTTCATTTATTTTCTTTTGTAGTTTTATTTTGTTCATATCACCTTCTCACAGCAAATGTAATCTCAATGCACTTTGCAAAACAAACGGATCCGATTCATGCCCAAAAGCATAGAATCAAATGAATCCAATTACACTTATATATTTAAATTCAATTACACACATTCTCATTCATTCAGGTCAACACCAATTCAATGTATACATTGAATCGGTGGAAAGTTGTATATCCATAGGAGCTCAGCACACTGTATAATGTTATTCCCATTCTGAGCAAGTATGGTGCGATAGTGGAAAGAAACCTCCAACAGAAGTGCTGCGACTGAGAGCCAGAAGAAAATCCCACACTGCATTGTTTATTTTCTTATTAGAGTTTCTCATCCCAGCTTCCTGGTCACCAAAACCAGCAACCGCTGAAGGAAATGTCTCTGTGTTGAAGCCGAACAGCCTGATCAAACATGTCTGCACCGAGGCGAGTGGATCAGAGCTCTGGCTGCTTCCAATATTTACGTGCCTTTCATGGCCTGTAGCTCGTGTTAATGGGGCTTCATTAGAGGATGGGCTGTTCTCACCAGCCAGTCAGTGCCTTGAAATTACCTCACTAAAGCAAACGAGTGATGCCGGGGCTGATGAAATATTTAAGGTTTGGGCTCCTAGGAATTATCAGTCAATTACATGCATTTTCAAGGCAGTACTGAGAAATGATCATGGTCCTGCTTCATCAAATTGTAATTGAATTGTCCTAATATGGATGTGTTAATTTGATATTTCTCCTTTTGATCCGAGATTAACAGAGTTAAATGAATAAAACATTTTATATTTTATGAATTCATCTGGAAAAATATTTCAATTAATCTGTATGAGGTGATAAATTAATTTATAGTAACTTGAAGTGTCCATTTCCAGGATGTGTCTAAATCCTTACCTACCAGAAACTTAGTCACTAAGCATGTGTCTATTTTGTCTTTTTGCCCATCGTATCTGAAACCTTCACGACTCGGCCTCTGGATGTGATCATGGTCGCCTGCTGAGACCCGAGCGCTGATGTGAGCAGTGTTTATAGAAATCTGTCAGACGATTTCAGGCTCAGACGGCTTCTCTTGTCTCCCGTCTCTGTGTCTGCTGTCTTTCAGCTGCATTTATACAAAATGACCTTTACCAATCTCTGCTTTTACAGAGCCGCCATCAGCTCAGCGCAGAACAGTGAAAGCAGGAAGATTAGGGCCAGCATGATGCCCTCACATTTCTCATATAGACGGTTTATGTCAATTTGGAACAAAGGGCATGGAGGCAACTGTGATGGAGACAGTTTATACTGACCAAAGACCTGTTTCAATGGAGTACAGAAAGTTTCCTTTATCAATTTTTTGCAGAGTTTACAGTCTTGAAGAGCTAGAGTTGATATACAGTCAGATTCAATGAATTTGAATGTTGCGGAAAAAGTTGATTAAATTCTGTAATTGAATTAAGTAAGTGAATTAACATATTTATAGAGATTATTTACACACAGACTGATGTTTCTAGACTTTATTTCTTTTAATCATGATGAATATCTGCTTACAGCTAATGAAAGCGTGACATTTAAGATTTGAAAATTATATCACACCAATAAAATAGTTTTTTAAATGCAGAATTGTGGCCTGTTGTCATATTGCAACATATCTACAACTTGTTTTCAAACATAGAAAATGTACAGTTGTTAATGTTTTTTATTATTATTTATTTTATACACAGACTTTGGCTTATAGCACAGTCTTGAAATGCTATTGGACAGAAAATGTGGGCATTAGTTCCTCCCACAGAGTAACTAAACTGTCTTTTCACAAGTATTGGCTGATTATTACAGTTTCTAGAATATGGGTGCATTTGTCATTTTTGTGCAACACTTGTGCGCAGTGCAACATAATTTTATGTTATATTTCATATTGCATTTTCATAAAACCTTACAAAAAAAATCTGACAATGTCATACTTACTTTTAATTTGTCAAATAACTCTCATCAGACAGCATATAAAATACACTGAATATGACTGAATATTAACATGTGCAATGCAATGACTAACGAGCAAAAATAATCATTTAGAAAATCGGACTGAAACTCATAAAATCAAATCAATAAAACCCAAATACATCCAGATTTCACCTGATTAGCAAACAGACTCCATGTTTAACCACACACCAGTCTCCGATAAAGCTGTCAAGAGGCTTAAAACACGGTTGGGTTGCATAAAGTAACCACATGTTTTAGGTTGTTTGCCCTTTCTTTAGTTTTTCCTTTGGTTTAGTAATGAACAGATGAACAAAGACAAAACATCCAAGTTGGCAAAGAAAATAACCTCACTTTGCTGTTACGTTAATATTAAGTGTTTCTAAAACGTTGGTAAAAAGGATAAAACGTGATTTTCTTTTTGTTGTGCGCTACCTCATCAGGTTTTCTGCTGGTGGCCATGCCGCCAGCTTTTCTATACCTCAGACAGATTATTATCATCCTCTGTTTATGTCTGTCATGCTCTTAATTGCCACCCTCTGGTAAATGACCTTTATAAATCAGCGACGGTAAGAAGAAAAAGGTGGTGAGCGACAACGGAGCCTTTCTCTCTGCACCAGCCACAGTCTGTGAATATATGATGCAAGAAAAATCAAGGAAAATCTCTGGTTGTTGCACAGCAGGAGGAACATTTCACTTACACCACAAACCAAGCTATTTATTTTTATTTTATTCGTGCTTGGTATTAAAATAAGGACTCTACTCCACCCAGAAATATGCTGTAAACTTCTCTTGGCTGCTATTAATAGTGTTAGACTGAGCTAGCTCCAGGCCTGACGGTTAATAGTCATGTCCTTCTGCTTGCAGTCGTCTTGCTCCTACTCTTCGGCTTTAATGTAATTTGACACTGTTGACATTTTGTCGAGCTGCTGACAGTCTGACAAGATTTCTATTAACATGCACGTCTTAAAGAGGATTCATTTCAAGCTGTTGTTTTTCACAGCTACATCTGTCTGGCCTGCAGATTAAGCAAGTTTTAATGACTTGAACTGAGACTCAAAACAAAGGAAAGACGTGACATGAACTGACGGAGGGGACCTGGAGATTAGAAAAATTAAAATGAGCGAACAAAAGTAACAACTTGTCTTTATTTATAAAAAAATAAAGACAAGTTTGATTACTACTCAAATAATAGAAGCATGCTAATATAAAGTAAGTAACATTAACAGACTGCACTGTGTGCCTAATTGGACACTGACACACACAGCTGCATTATGTGAATTGTAACAGAGGAAGCAGGTCAACATATAATTAAGGGTCAGCACAACTTTCTCACCAGGAATTATGTTGTAATGCTGGATTCTTTTTTATTTAACTGAGAAGCAATTTTCTCCTCACCAAATCCTTAAAACAAAATCACCAGCTTTGTGCTGCTTGTTCGGCTAATTTTTGACAAATTTACATCAAGAATATGAAAGTGTTCAGATAACTGGAACAGAAAATGGTGTTGAGGTATATTTAGTCAGGTCTACTTGGACAAGTATTTTGAAAACAATTTAACTGAGCTCCCGAATCGCTCATTCCCTTCCCTTTGTCTTGGCAGAGATAAAATCATATTTTTAATCTTAAATCACCAAATAGATACATTTTATGAAACACAAAAGATTTGTGTTAGCACAGATTTGTGTTAGCACAGTTAATCAGATAAAAGACCATGCCGACCTCCTGTTGGAGCCGCTCCAGGCTCTCACTGTATTTAGATAAACAAACCATCATCAGTGCAGACGCAGCAGCTGAACTGAGAAGCGAGAGATTAAAACTGACTATTATTGCTTCATTGCAATACATTTTAATAACAGTTGCATCAGTTTGTAAGCAGTGGTGGAAATATGTTGCTCTTACCTCAGAGGTGTTCAGTGTTATTAGAATATGTATAGACTGATTCAGCTGAAATCAGATTTGCTGCAGCACGAAGCACAGAGACGGGGAATGCTGAGACGTTAATTCATAAATGCCGCCTTTCTTTGTGCTTCATAAAAATGCAAAGCAGATACGGAATAATACAACCGGGGTTTAAGTGTTTTATAAGAAATCAAATTAACTATGAGACAAATAGGGTAGACATGACAGTACTTCTTCTAAGATACTCACAGAAAAATACCAAAATTGTTGGTTGTGACTTATTTAGCTTTGATCGTGACCCAAAGTTGATTTTAAGAATATGAGCTGCATCGGCAGGGAGAAGAAAAACGAATCCCACTGTTGCGACAAAATCTACACTCCGAGTGTTAAAGTCTGGACTCTGGTGGCCAATCTGTGTGTGCAAACAGTGTCCTGTGCTCCTTGAACCGATCTCGCTTCATTTAATTCTGATGAATCTGTCCACAGACTTTTTTTTTTTTTAGAGATGTTCAGAGTAGACAAGTGTATCGAAAGTGGGGAAATATCAAGGAATGCATTAAATAACAAGATGAATTTTGATGGAAGTTATCTATGAGATGGATTTATTTTTGTATAATAATTTTGCATACTGTATCAAGGTAGAAGGGAAAAATCATAAAGACGTTTCACATTTTTCTTGTTACAAGGAGTGATCAGTTTTTTTGTTTTTTTACCAAAAGCATAATTTTGCTCCACCTCTTTGAAATATATTGGAGCAGCTGCTCCACTTGCACCACGACTAGACTGTCTGTGGCAGGAAGGTCAACAGAACTTTAGTCGCTCAGAAATCTAATTTTTGCTGCACTCTCGACGAGCTCTGAGCTGTGAATTTCTCACGGCATTTGCCAAAATTCACAGTGGATATTTAAAGAGGGGTCCTCCTTTGTTCGCGAGTTTAAGCATATCGCTCAAACTCTGTGCAGAAAATTGT